AAAAGAGATTATCAGACAGGAGGGAGGGAGAGTAAAGGGAGGAGGGGAAGCAGAGGAAGTTAATCCCTAGCAGGGTGATGTCACAGACCCCTCTTGGGTGGGGAAGGGTGAAAGGAGGAGGAGAGAACCAGGAGGATGTCACATGTCACAGACCATCTTCTGCAGGGGACAGATTTCTTCCAAGACTGGGAGGGGCTTGACTGATGATTTCAACTCTTTGAAAAAAAAGTCAACCATTTTGCCAGGGGCATTTTTTTTGACACTCGCAGATCTTCTACTTGAACCCATTTTCAAGAGTACCTTTGGTATGTCCTTTTAATTTTTTTTTTTTTTCTTATTAACCAATTTTTTTTCTCCTTTCCCATTTTTAAGACAAAGAAGGTCTTTAATGGACAATGTCTCTGTGACATCAGACACAAATTAGCAAGTCCATTAATTTTTTTTTTTTTTTTTTTTAATCCTCATGATGACCGGTTATGCCTTTGAACCATTTTTTCTCCATAATTGTCACATCCGTGTGACATCACAGCACACCTCCCCTCCTCAGGCCATTGGCTTCACCTTTGGCTCTACTGGTGGCTTGCTAACCACCCCCCCCCTCCTGCCCTGCCCAGCCCCCCCCACCCCAGCCCTGCCACCCCCTCTCTGCATGAACCCTCCATAGGACTCGTTGACCACTTCAATATTTTTCTCACGACCGGAGACGCTCATTAAAATTAAACAAACATGCAAAATTTCAAGGCCGCTAACGGAGAAAACATTTACAGCAAAATCCAAAGACGACAGAAGCCAATTTAGACACCCGGAAATCCAAGGGCACAACACACACAACGGGACCGGAGACGCTCATACAATATGGCTGCTGAGGGCGGCCATTTTGAAACTTGCTAATCGACACTCCCCTTTGAACATGCTTTCGTTTTGCCGTATCTCTCTTGTAATATAAACAATATATTATTTATCACCGTGTGCTACTACATCTAAAATCAGGAATGAACATCGTCTAGTGCCAAGCAGCTATATAAATTACACTTTACAATCGTTCAAAAAAAAAAAAAAAAGATTTATAAAAAAAAGAAATAAAAAGAAATAAAATTATTATGATTAAGGCCCATTAAAATCGCAAGTTAGGCTTCTTTTTTTTTTTTTAATAAAACAAAACAAAAAAATAAAGCAATAAAATTAAATACAATGTATTATACAAGAGGGGATGTTAGCTACTTACTTTTTCTAGATATCCCCTTTAGACACTCAAAAAACGAAATTCAGCTACATAGAAGACATCAGATTTAGACAAATTAACAGACATCTTCCCTACTTTGCAAAGTTTTTCCTATTTTTACTGAATTAATAATATTTTTTTTATTCTGACATTAGAATTAATATCTATTTTTATTTCACTATATATATATATATTTATTTATATTAAATTATTAAATATTAAAGCTGAAGGCAGGTTAGACCACTTTTCACCGTGGTGTGGTAAGAAGAATGAAAAGCTGCATAGATAAGGAGAAATAACCCTTCTCTCTCTCTCTCTCTCTCTCTCTGTCGAGGAAGCCATTTGTCACATGACATATGCCAACTGAGAAGGCCGACACCAACATCCCCCCAATGGCTACCTCCTGGCGGATTAAAAAAAAAATATATAAATATATATATAGACTTGATCTGATTTTACCGGACACGCCGCTTGCTGAAGACAACACTTTTTTTGCATGTCGACAAAAAAATTAAAAAAAAAAAAAACGGTTCAAAATGGCCGCCCCACGGTTTCATTATTAGGCCAGAGTTCTTAATTCTTGCATGCACGCGAGAAAATGCCTGTCCCTTTCTCCTCTCCCCCGAAGTGAAAAAGTGTTTCTTTTTTTTTTTTTTTTCTTTAATTTTATTTTCCAGACATAAGAGACTTGAAATATCCACAGAGACAGATCATATTCATGCAAAAAAGGCAACAGAGAGACGAACAGACAGAACGGAGGAAGAGCTTCGAGGGGGCTGCTATGTCCTGCTGACAGTTTGTTCTTTGTTTTTTTCTGCATAAAACTTCATACCACCTTTCCACTTTTTTTTTTTTTTTTTTTGGCAGGGAATGGCAATGACACATGACAGGTGGCCATGTAACTTAAATGATCGCACTTTTTTTTTTTCCTTTCGCATACAGAATACTGAAGTATCACTAGAAGACTCTCTCATCTCAAATTCACTTTGGTAGACTCACAGTGCAAAGACACCAGAGGCCCTTTCCACGCACTCATGCAATACCTGTGCACACAGAACATATCCTACAACACCAGGAAAATTATTCACGTGATAATGCAAAAAAAAAAAAAAAAATTCTCAACAACACTCTTAAACCTCAGAAAATTAGCCCGTAATCCTTTGCGACATCCTCCTGATGTCACAAGTAGGAACAGCCGTGAGGTCAGAATACTTTATTGCTGTATGACAAGATGAATCTCTTATGAACGCGCTAACTAGATCTTCAGAGGGGGCCCTTTGGGCCAATCCATCGACAGTAGCGCTGGACACAAAATGGGTCAGCTGCTATAAGACCTCCCACCCCCCACACTGGAATAAATTGGGCCCAACATGGCAGGAACCGTGGCAGACTTTGGTCTACTGGAATTTATTTCGGCCAAAAAAAAAAAAAATGAAAAAAATGAATCAACTTAATAACAGTGGCGGAGAGTGTGAAAAAGACGTAGGAACAATAGAGCAAAATGAAAAAAAATACAGACGGGTAAAGCAAAAAAAAAAAAAATGCAGACGGGTAAAGCACAAAAAAAAATGCAGATGGGTAAAGAAAAAAAAAAAAATACAGACGGGTAAAGCAAAAAAAGGAAATACAGATGGGTAAAGCAGAAGAAAAAAATACAAATGGGTAAAGCAAAAGAAAGAAATAAAGATGGGTAAAGCAAAAGAAAAAAAATACAGATGGGTAAAGCAAAAGAAAAAAATAAAGACGGGTAAAGCAAAAAAAAATACAGATGGGTAAAGCAATAAAAAGAAATACAGACGGGTAAAGCACGAAAAAAAATATAGACGGGTAAAGCACGAAAAAAAATACAGACGGGTAAAGCAAAAAACAGAAATACAGATGGGTAAAACAAAAAAAAAGCAATACAGACGGGTAAAGCAAAAAAAAAAAAATGGGTAAAGCAAAAAAAAAATACAGACGGGTAAAGCAAAAAAAAAAAAAAATCTAGATGGGTAAAGCAAAAAAACAAAATACAGACGGGTAAAGCAAAAGAAAAAAATACAAACGGGTAAAGCAAAAAAGGAAATACAGACGGGTAAAGCAAAAAAAAAAAAAAATACAGACAGATAAAGCAAAAAAGGAAATACAGACAGGTAAAGCAAAAAAACAAAAAACAGACGGGTAAAGCAAAAAAGTAAATACAGACGGGTAAAGCAAAAAAAAAGCAATACAGACGGGTAAAGCAAAAAAAAAAAAAAAAATACAAATGGGTAAAGCAAAAAAAAAAAAATTCCCCAGGAAGCATTACACTTTAAGGAGACATCCCCACCACATAAAAGTTCACACACGTAAAAATTTTTTTTTTTTTTTTTTTTTTTTTTTTTATGTATGATGCACCTCCTTTGTATTCACAGACGTAAATCTACTTTTACATCATCTGTGCTATTTCTGGATCTGTGTGCCCTTCGAATTGTGCCTTGGACATTTTCGTCCTTGCAGCGCACTGAAAAAAAATAGCTTTCATTAAAAAGAAATTTCACAAAAAAATTTCCTGCATCTTAAACTAAAGATTTTTTTAACCGCATGACTATGTAGGAGGAGTTTCAGATTTTTGAAACCAACCGTATATATGACAAGTAGACACAATAGGTGGGAGAAGCGGAGAGGGGGAGGGGTCTAGTTTGTACAGATGGATAATAGTGGAAGAGAAGAGCGTATGGCGTTGGGCGTTCCATCTTGTCAGTGGGTAGAGTAGTACTGAAGATAACACTGTACAGTAAGGAGGTACACACACCAATGGGAGAGCCATTACAAACTGGACCAGACATAAAAAAAAAAGAAATATTTCATGAGTTGCCAGATGACATGACACTGGTAACAAAAACTTTGGCAAAGAAAAAAGTAAAAAAAAAATACAAAGTAGGTGGAAGATCGAGCAGCAGGTTTTTCTCCTCGAAATGAGGAATATGGTGACACAATGTTTTCCCTACCTATTGCTAATTACTGCAGAAAACAAAACGCACGTTAAGACAGAGTGCCAACACACCATGGTCAGCATCCAGTCTCTCTCGGCTAGCAATCGGGATCTACAGACCGCTAGCTTCCCAAGACGGACACACAGCCGACGTACATGCACTCCCCCCCCCCAGCACGCTCACATCACCACCAACAAAACGGAAGAGATTCGGCGCGGACGCGTACACACAAGACTTTGGCAAGTAACAGAAACACACTCAGCCACCAGTCAAGAAAAAGGACTAAAGAAAGCGCCGGGTCGGACCCTCTGCCAACGCAACATGTCCGGGGGTCCCTGTGGAACACGTCCAGTAACGACAAATACAGTTGGTTTGCTTTTTTTTTTTTAAACCTTGACAGACGGGTAACAAAAAGTTTGAAACTCAAAAAACCAAACGGGTGACAGACATTGAAAAAAAAAAAAAAATATTTGGGATTTTTTTTTTTGGGGGGGGGGGGCCCTTTTTGCTCCCCAGCTCCTGTGGGTGACAGTTGAGGATTTGGCTTTAGGTTGACGTCAGTTAACACCGTTGACGGGAACAGATTGACTTCTTAATATGCGCCCAACAAGCCTGGATTAGCTGATGGTAACCTAACTCCTGAGTGAAACCCACAGAGGCAAAAAAGGGCTGACGCACTCACAGCTTCCTGATCTGTGCGGTAATTCCAATACTTGTCATGTACATAATATTGTATCTCTTTTTTTAATCTTTTTTTTTTTTTTTTGTAATTCGCTATCTTCTTTATCTCTCCTTTTAATCTGCATTGTGCATTTTGTTTTATTTCAGAATCCCAGCGTTCCTCCGATAGAGGAGGCCAAGACAACACCCAACACAACACAACAGATGATAATCATAATTTTCTTCTACATACCCAACCGCCATCAGAAGTATGAGGAGAAGAAAAAACAATGGAAGGGAAGTAAGGGGCCGAGAGAAGAAAAGAGTGAAATGGAGGTAATGGCAACATAGGAAGGAGAAGAAGCCATGGAACAATGGAGGAAGGGAAACGGGAAGACGAAAACATAAGAAGAGGAGGAAAAGTAAGATATGAGTGTGGAGAAGGACAGAAGAACAACATAAGAAGGGATGGAAAACATGGAACAATGGAGGAAGCGAAACACGGGAAGATGAAAACATAGGAAGAGGAGGAAAAGTAAGATATGAGTGTGGAGAAGGACAGAAGAACAACATAAGAAGGGATGGAAAACATGGAACAATGGAGGAAGGGAAACACGGGAAGAACAAACATAGGAAGAGGAGGAAAAGTAAGATATGAGTGTGGAGAAGGACAGAAGAACAATATAAGAAGGGATGGAAAACATGGAACAATGGAGGAAGGGAAACACAGGAAGATGAAAATATAGGAAGAGGAGGAAAAGTAAGATATGAGTTTGGAGGACAGAAGAAGAACATGGAAAAACATGAAATGGGGATGTGAAAAAACATGGAGGAACAATGGAAAAGTAAGGAGTGTGGAGGACAGAAGAAATAAGAAGGGAGAAAACAGGATGGAGGATGAAATAGAAAATGAAAATAGAGGAAGAGGAGGAAAAGTAACATATGAGTGTGAAGAAGGACAGAAGGACAACACAGGAAGGAGAAACCAGTTGACGTAGAGAAAGGGCATCACAGGAAGAGAGCGAGCGGGGGAAAAAGCAGAATGAGAAAGGGTGAATGGAAACAAAAAGAAAGATGAGAGAAGAGAAAGGAGGTGGTGGAAGGATGAGATAGGAAGGGTCAGGGAGAAATATAAGAGAGAAAGGGTATGACAAGAAGAAGAAGAAAGGATAAGTGGTGGAAGGGTAAGCATGAGATAATAAGGGCCATAAAGAGAGGTAGAAAAGGAAGGATGAGAGAAGAAGATTGAGAGAAAGGAAATTGTGGAAAAACAGGATAGGAAAAGAGGAAGGTTTGGAGAAAGGCAGAAGAGGAAAAATGATTCAGGAAGAGGGAGAGAGAGGAAGGGGAGGAAGAATAAGATCGGAAGGGCCAGGGGGAGAGACAGAAGAAGGGTGACATGAGAAAAAAAGAAAAGAGAGAGAATGAAATGAAAAGAGCCAGAGAGAGACAGACAAGGAAGGATGGGACCGAAACAACAAAAAAAAGAGGAAGTGGAGGAAGGATAAGATAGGAATGGCCATGGAAACAGGTAAAAGTGAAAGGATGAGATAGGAGAAAGAGAAAGAAAGAGGAAGGAGAAGGAGAATGACATATGAAGGGACGAGGAGTATGGCAGAAGATGGAGGGTGAAACAGGAAGAGGAAGTGGAGGAAGGATAAGATAGGAAGGGCCACAGGGAAAGGCAAAAGAAGAAGGATGAGACAGGAAGAGAAAAAGAAATGAAGCAGAGGAAGAATGACACAGGAAGGGCCGAGGATAATGGCAGAAGAGGAAAGGTGAGACAGGAGGAGGAAGTGGATGAAAAATGAGACAGGAAGGGTCAGAGAGAGAAGGCGGGAGAAGAAGAGGGAGACAAGAAGAGGAAGATATAGGCAGGGGGAAAATTTTGAAACAGAAGACAAATGGAGATAAAGGAAGGAGACAATTGAAGAAAAAAGAAGAAGTGGTAGAAGGATAAGATAGGAAGGGCCGCACAGAAAGGAAAAAAAAGGAAGGATGAGACAGGAAGAGAAAGAAAGAGGAAGTAGGAGGAAGAATGACATAGGAAGGGCCAAGGAGTATGGCAGAAGTGGAAGAGTAAAACAGGAAGAGGAAGTGGAGGAAGAATAAGACAGGAAGGGCCAGAGAGAAAGGCAGGGGAAGTGTGAGACAGGAAGAGGAAGATAAAGGCAGGGGGATATTTTTGAGAGAAGGAAGAATGGACAAATAGGAAAGAGAATAGTGAATCACAAGGAGAAGGATAAAATAGAAGGAGAAAGAGACACAGGAAAGAGAAGGAAGGGAGACACCATAAAGAGGCGGAAGGAAAGCACATAGGAGTCACAAGGAGAAACAAGTAAGGAAGAAGGGACGCATAGGAAGAGGAAAAGAAAGGCAAAGGAAGAAGGGCATTGAGGGTAGGAGAAGAGAACGTCAGAGGAGGATGGGACATATACGAGGAACAGCAACACAGAGAATGGAAAGAACAGAGGAAAAAGATATCAAGGCAGTAAATAAAGAGCAAACAAAGGGAAAAGGTGTGTATAATGTAGGTGGGTAAAAGGTGTTGGAAAACGAAATGGAAGAAAATGGAAGAGAGAAAAAAACAAGAAATTGTTAGACATGTTACATGGATATAGAGATAGATATAATTGTACAAACAGAGATAACATTATCAATGACTGTTTACATCTACCAGCCATGTCCACAAAACGTTGTCTGCCTGAACATGACATTTCATCTTTAGATGGTTTATTCTGAGCTAAATCCCCACTTCCTCCCCATTTTCTATATCTCGTTGGACATCTTACAGTGGGATCACATTGTCAGTCTAAATGTTCCTGTCCAATTGCGGCCATTCCCACTGCTTCTGTTACATTTTTCATAATGACAAAATTTTAACGTCCAACATTAAGTGAGGGACCCCTCCGTGGAGGCCATGGTAAGTGTTCATACCCTAAAAATTCAAAATCAGACATGTAGGAAATATTTGGGTGGTCTGACTTTTCTAACATCTACCAATCCCCAAGCTGACAAATTTGGACGGATTGGATCACCTAAATGAGACTTTTCACTTAAAAAAAAGTGGTTTGTTGCGGGGCAAATACCTCCTTTTACTCCAGCATTTACTGTATTTTATTATTTGTATCATACATCACATATTTTCTCATCTGGCCATTTAATTAATCTATGGATCCACTAGATTTGATCCTGAATTCTGAAAAATGTAAAAGAGCGAATTTCAAAGATTTGGATGGCCAGACTTAAATCTGAATTTCAGTGTTATTTTTGGTGGTTCAAATTTCCAAAAAGCTTCAAGAGGGACCAAAGATGGCTTTAAAGGCTGTTTTATGCCTTATATCTGTTTCTGCTGTCATCTGAGCACCCTTAGCTTGATTGGCAGTACCACCAGATCCCACCCTTCTATACCCAGTAGACTTTTTAAAGGGTTTTTTTGTTTTGGCCCCGTTCTCTTATTAGAAAAGGTTGCCGTGAGCCTCCTTAAACCATTCTGCATAATTATACATCAATGCTCATTTTAGATTCCTATTGACCTTAATAAGATATCCGATTTGGAAATACCAAATTTTAAAGATTTACTTTGGCCACACCCAGTGGCGGACTGACAACTCATGGGCCCCCGGGCAATAGGGGATCATGGGGCCCCTGTGTCTTTGCCCACACTCAAAACAAAGCAAAAAAAGCCTATAAAAGGTACCAGGGGCATTTCATGGGGCCCCCTACTGACCCCGGGCCCTCGGGCAGTGCCCGAGTACTTGAATGGTCAGCCCACCCCTGGCCACACCACAACTGTGAACTTTGCAGAGGTTCCCTCATCTCTAGGATCTTTATATCTTGCCCCCCCCCCCCCCCAAGTAAGCTAATTTGTGCCCATCTGTCTACAGCAGTGGTCTCTGAACAGCGGCCCAGGGGCCAGATGTGGCCCTTTATTTGCTTTATCAGGTCCTTGAGACACTATTCCTCCCACTTATACAAGGCACTATTATTTTTACAGAAATAATTGGGCATAATTCCTATCACTAATACCAACAATGAGGCACTATTCTTCCCACTTGATACCAATGATGGGGCACTACTGATACCAATGATGGGGCACTATTCCTCTCACTGATACCAATGATGGGACACTATTCCTCCCACTGATACCAATGATCCTCTCCCACTGATACCAATGATGGGACACTATTCCTCCCACACTACTATTCCTCTCACTGATACCAATGATGGGGCACTATTCCTCCCACTGATACCAATGATGGGGCACTATTCCTCCCACTGATACCAATGATGGGGCACTATTCCCCCCCTCTCACTGATACCAATGATGGGGCACTATTCCTCCTCACTGATACCAATGATGGGGCACTATTCCTCCTCACTGATACCAATGATGGGGCACTATTCCTCTCACTCACTGATACCAATGATGGGGCACTATTCCTCCACTGACACCAATGATGAGGCACTATTCCTCCCACTGATACCAATGATGGGGCACTATTCCTCCCACTGACACCAATGATGGGGCACTATTCTCCCACCCACTGATACCAATGATGGGGCACTATTCCTCCCACTGACACCAATGATGGGGCACTTTTCCTCACACTGACACCAATGATGGGACACTATTCCTCCCACTGACAACAACTGCAGGGCCCTATTCTTCCCACTGATACCAATGATGGGACACTATTCCTTCCACTGACAACAACTGCAGGGCCCTATTCTTCCCACTGACACCAATGATGGGACACTATTTCTTGCCCCTGATACCAACAATAGAGTACATTTCCTATTAATGACACCAATGATGGGGCACTATTTCTTTCCTTGATACCAACAATAGTGTACAATTCCCATCAATGACACCAATGATGGGGCACTATTTTTTCCCCTGATACCAACAATAGGGAACCATTTCTCCTACTAATACCAATATTGAGGCATTCTTTACTCCCATTGATGCTAAGGAATTTTCTACTCACACGGGACACAGTCCGGCCCCCTGAAAGTCATTAAATTTGCCCTTTGTTCAGAAATTTTGGAGACCCCTGCTCTACAGCAGAAAAATAAAAATGTACTTCTCTATATCTGTCAGTCTTTTTGGTATAAATATCTTGTGTCTATCATGACATCACTCACCCTTCGTGCTTTGCTCTGATATTTCACAGCTTTCTTGGTATCAGACACCGCTCGTTCCACATAGTCCACGGAGTGCTCCACGTTATACTCAATACGGTCTATCATCTCCCCCTAGAATGGAGGCATGAAAAAAGATTACATATTGGCCACCATGTTGACTCAGGTCACCAGTGTCATCTCCATGTCCCCTCACCTGACTCTCCACGAGCATAGCCATGTCTACGAACATGTCATGCAGCTCTCGGATGCTGTTTTCCAGCTTTATGATCTCATTGTGTCGTGTCTCAATCTCATTAAGAGCTTGTTTGGTCATCTGGGAGTCCATCTTGATCTACAGTTGGCGGAGAGCAGAACAGTCAGTTGACAGACTTTGGACAGATATGCGTGTGCTGATTCTAGTTGCATATTCTACATTAAAGTTAGTGAATGACATAAGGGTGGCTCATATAGGTAGATCTCTCATGGGGAACAAATACCATTGAAGGATCTATCTCTGCTTATGATGATTGCCACAACTCCAAAGCCAAATAAAAATGTTTGAACACCAAAACACCAAACGGGGTAGGGAAATACTGAAGTTTAAGGGATAATAGTAAACCCAGAAGATGTAACTCCCAGACTAACTGTTTTACAGTAATAATCTGATACTTGCCATATAGATACATATACTCTTTCAGATTTGGCATCATCATTTTATATACTTTAAGTTGTTAGTTCATCATTAGCACAACATTGTTTGATTTAGGCCTCATGCACACTGGGCGTTCTTACAGCGACGTTTTTGGCTTGTGGCATTTTTTTATACAGTCAGTAAACCCACCAACATGTTATCCTATGTGTCCGTGCACACATAGGCTTTAATCAGCGCTTTTTAGCTAGAGAACCTCCCCCCCCCCCCAGAACTAGTGGGTTTCAAGAGGAGTTTCTAAGCTGTAAAAATGCTCTAACGCTGGTAAATGCAGTAAAACGCAGTTCAACGCTGAGAACAGTTTTCTGTGGTCAACAGAAGAATACAGAATGTCCTAGTAACCTCTTTTTGTTTGCACTGGATCTGACAAAGGAATCAGTAGGGGACGTCTTGCTGTACAGTCAGGCAATTTGTTGTGTATCTGCAAACCAGTTGCCTCCCTGAGATACCAGCCTCTAGGCTACTCTTTTAGGGTTACAATAGTATTTATGAAGGGTGGCCTATTCATTAGAGGTGGTGTGTTTAGTGGGCTGCCAGGCTGCTGTCTAATGGGCTTTAGCCTTGTTAACCAATGTGTCTGAATGGTTCTATATTGAATGGTCATTCTTCTATACCGATTAGGGAAATTAAGTCCTAAAAACCCTACGAGGAAGTGTATGACAACTTCATCCTGGGCTCCAACCAGGCCAGCCCCCCCCCCCCCCCCCCCCCCCAACATATTTCACTCCACCCATGGACCTTAATCATGGGGGATTCTTCCCATGATTAAGCTCTGGGACTGAGTGAAATTCATTTGGAGACTTGGCCTGGTTGGAGCCTGGGCTGAGGCTGTCATACATTTCCTCACAGGGTTTTGCTGTGATGTAAGTCTTTTAGGGCTTCCTAAAAGTCGCACAGCACAGCAAAACCCTATGAGGAAGTGTATGACAACCTCATCCTGGGCTACAACCAGGCCATGCCCCCCCCCCCCCAACATATTTTACTCCACCCATGGACCTTAATCATGGGTGACTCCCATGATTAAGCTCTGGGACTGAGTGAAACTCATTTGGAGACGTGGCCCAGTTGGAGTTGGAGGGTTTTGCTGTGATGTAAGTCTTTTAGGGCTTCCTTTCCCTACTGGATGTTTTGAGCTGGGATGAGCTCAGTCCTTGTCAGCGCTCCTAGTGGTTTTCCATGCAAGAAGACCTGGTGGAGCCTTGAGCAGCACCTGTTATTTTTGTTGTGGGTCACTCTTCTATATCATTAACAAAATGGAGAACCTAACTGGCTGATATGATCAACCTGAAAAAATTCTTACTGCAAACATTTTGATAAGACCTTGCACGGTTCTAATACTTTGTCATTTATTTGCTTCCTCTATACTTGGAATGTCTTAGGCTGTTTAAGTATAATGCACGGCACACAACCTCCCCACATCCCCCTCATCAGCCCCATTACACACGTCATCTGTGAATATGGCCAGCTTCCCACTCTCCAACATGTCTTCCAGCTCTTCATTGGTCGTGGTTCTTCCAGCTGTCAAGAGATATAGGTGTCACAAAGATTCCAAACAACAGTAGGCAAACATCTGATTTCCCATCGTCTAAATATTATATCTAAATATTTTCCACAACTTCTTAAAAGTCCTTGAGACTTCCACAGGGAAAAGTCCAAACCTTTTGGTACCATAAAACCACTGCAGAGCTATGGCAACCAGTAAAGTCTAAGCTAGTTTGTCCACACGTCCTATGGAGCATCCAGCACAGATCTGGTGCAGCAGGTGACAACAAGCAAAGTTAAACTGAAGAAGGTGTGTCTCAGATACTACAGGGAAAATCCCGGATCTTAGAAGCAGATATCCCCACCAGGATACCAGAGACCTTTAGCAAGCCAAAGATAATGTTTTCTTGGGGGTTAGTAGGCTTTTAGAAGGAACATGTCAACATGCTCACACCTTCTTCAAGAGCATAGCCATGGTTAAGGATGTGTTTTGATTCCTAGACCATGTAGCAGCTCAAGAACGAACCTAGTCAACTTCACCTCCCAATCCAGCAAACTCTCCTCCACTAATCAGCCTATAATTGAGCAACACCCCATCACCGCTGTTAAGATCACCCAAAAGTAAAAACTGACCTCCCAGATTAGGACACCTGGGGGAGTTTTGTGGACAATGATCATCTACTTTCCAAAAGGCCATAATCCCCCTACACCCCATCATCCATCATCATACATACTGATTTCCAGCTGTCTCTGGATGCGGTCCTTGCAGCGGTCTCTGTATTTTGACTGCGTTGCATTGTACTCTGTCATCACCTCCACAAACTTGCGGGACAGCGTAGAGTGCTGATAAAAACACAGAGAAAAAGTACAAAAGTGGTGCTCAATCAAAGGCAAGGGAGACCAATACTAAAAACCTGGCAGCAGGTTAAAGGCTACTCATTGGTTACCTGTGTTTTCCGGATACGCAGGTCGGCTGAGGAGCGATTCTGACCCTCTTCCTGCTCAATGCTTTGCTCAATTGCTATAATAAATAGAAGAGATGTTCATTGATCACCACCTTTAACCGGGATCTGAAGGTATATATTGTTAATGTTATGTTGGACGTTTGACAGTCACTGCTCAAAGGAGCTCACAATCTAATCATAAAACAGGGCCCACAGCTTGGTCAGTTTAGGTCAGCCATTGTTCTGTGGAACTCTAAGTTTCCTCCAGAGGTTGCTGGAAGTACCTTGAGCTGTGGCTAAGTGATCTACTATCTGATGGTAGTTGCATAGTTCTGGGGCCAACAACCTATGGTATGACACCAAGGATCGTTTTAGCTGTCTAAAAGGGAGGCATTAATCCCACTGACTCCAATGATACGGTCCATTCTTTCAAATGACCTCTGGTGTACGGGGCATTCTTTCGTCTCACTGTGAGGAAGCACCTCTCTCAATGAACTCTCTCAGTGGTCACTTCTTCAATGCTCATCAATGATAAAGCATACCTTTTCTTACTGACCACAGTGTAAAGTGTCCCTTCACTCAAGGCTGGTGCAAGGAGTTTTATCTACACAGGTGAAGGTGCATTTTCAGTAAAACGAATTCCACTAGAGCCCATCAGATCCCCTGTACATCAGAGTTCCCATCACATCCCCATTAAAATTCACCCCTAATGTAGCACCGAATTCCATTATCTGTGGATCCTGCAACCTAATTAAGATGTTATGGTTACCACAACTTTTGTATGTATTACATAACTCCCTGATGTGGATCCCTAAACAGTCGTTTCAGAGATTGGATACTATTTGTAGAGATCTAATTTGGAGAAAGGGGGTGTTGAGGATAGGCTTGCGTATGTTACAATTGCCTAAGGATATGGGGGGACTAGCTTTGCCTCACCCCCGGAGTTATTTTTTTGGCTTCACAGTTACAGCACTTAAGGAATAGTGGATTGACAGAAACGGGGGATGCATATAGAGGTATGGTGATGACCTGTACTGGGCACAACAGGGTGCTGGAGGCTTTAGAGGCAAAGTCAATTGTTTTGACGTGTTCTACGCTGTCATTGTTAGTAAAACTGTGGCAGTTACTTAAGGCATTAGTGGGGTAACGGGGATACCCAGAATTCTTTGACTCAGTTGTATAATCTGATTCACTGAAAACATTTCAAGAATTAAAAGGAGTTTGCCATCCAGCATCAATCTTTCTTCAGGTATCTGCAGGTTAGGCATGCTCTGAGGGAGCAGTTTAAAGGAAAGGTACTAGAGTGGAGTGGGATGGCCCATACATAGGGAGTGTTACAGAAGAGGAGTGGAAATATATATTGGAAGCCGTGCCAATGGTGTCCATGTCCCCCTCGCAGAGAATTTCACATTTATTATTATTACACAGAACGTACCGTACCCCCAAAAGATTGTTTACATTTGGAAGATGTCCAGATGCTGCATGCAACTGACTGGTGGGGATCTGACTGGTGACCTTATGTTCTGGAGATGCCCTAAACTGAATAGGTATTGGTTAGATATTCTTGATAGCATAAATTCTGTGTTTTGCGGTGGCCCTGGGACTGGATTCAAAGTAATGTACAGTCACTGAACTTTATTGGGTCCACCTTGCTAGTACCGGGTTGGACCCCCTTTTACCTTCATTCTTCGTGGCATAGATTCAGCAAGGTGTTGGAGACATTCCTCAGAGATTTTGGTCCATATTGACATGGTAGCATCACGCAGTTTCTGCAGATTTGTTGGCTGCACATTTATGATGCGAATCTCCTGTTCCACCACATCCCAAAGTTGCTCTTTTGGATGGAGATCTGGTGACTGTGGGGGCCATTGGAGTCCAGTGACCTGATTGTCATGTTACAGAAACCAGATTGAGATGATTTGAACTTTGTGACATGGAGCATTATCCTGCTGGAAGGAGCCATCAAAAGACAGGTGGTTTATGCCAAATTCTGACCCTACCATCTTAAGGTTGCAGCTGAAATCCAGACTCATCAGACCAGGCAACGATTTTCCAATCTTCTATTTTCCAATTTTGGTGAGCCTCTGCGAATTGTAGCCTCCATTTCCTGTTCTTAGATGACAGGAGTGGCACCCGGGGTGGTCTTCTGCTGCGGTAACCCATCGGCTTCAAGGTTGAACATGTTGTGCATTCAGAGATGGTGTTCTGCATACCTTGGGTGTAATGACTGGTTATTCGAGTCACTGTTGCCTTTCTATCATCTGGAACCAGTCTGCCCATTCTCCTCTGACCTCTGACATCAACAAGAAACGTTCCTCCACACAACTGCCGCTCACTGGATATTTTCTCTTTTTCGGACCATTCTCTGTAAATCCTACAGATGGTTGTGCGTGAAAATCCCAGTAGATCATCAGTTTTTGAAATACTCAGACCAGGCTGTCTGGCACCAACAACCATGCCACATTCAAAGTCGCTTAAATCTCCATTCTTCCCCATTCTGATGCTTCAGCAGATAGTCTTCACCACGTCTAGATGTCTAAATGCATTGAGTTGCTGCCATGTGATTGGCTGATTAGCAGTTTGTGTTACCAAGCAACTGAACAGGTAGACCTAATAAACTGGCCCGGGGAGTGTATATTGGGCTATATGGATGGGGCGACTTTGTCATACAATACACAAAATGTGTTGCTTAGGTGTTTATTTCAGGCTTGGAAGCTTATTGCATGGAAATGGTTGGCATCGGACCCTCCAACAAGTATAGAATGGGTTAAAGTAGTAATAAATACTGTAAGATGTGATAAGTTTGTCTACATGAAAAAGAGGTGTCTTGAGAAATTTGAGAAAATATGGGGACCATGGGTGGATACTATGGGGTTGACCTCTAATGAGAAGGTGGTGAATAGGGTGTGTTAGAATAATTTTAACATGTGAAATAAGAAATGAATGTATATTATGTTTATATTTGGGAAAACGGCCTAATTGGCGTAATAATATGGTTAAGAGGGTGATACACCAATGTATGCATGGGAAGGGGGGAGGGGCATATGTTATGTTATTTGTATGTATTTCAAATGTAAATTTCACCCTTACATCAGAGATCCCATCACATTTCACCCTTACATCAGAGATCCCATCACATTTCACCCTTACATCAGAGATCCCATCAAATGTCACCTTTACATCAGAGATCCCATCAAATTTCACCTTTACATCAGAGATCCCATCAAATTTCACCCTTACATCAGAGATCCATCAAAGTTCACCTTTACATCAGAGATCCCATCAAATTTCACCCTTTTACATCAGAGATCCCATCAAAGTTCACCTTTACATCAGAGATCCCATCAAATTTCACCTTACATCAGAGATCCCATCAAAGTTCACCTTACATCAGAGATCCCATCAAATGTTCACCTTTACATCAGAGATCCCATCACATTTCACCTTACATCAGAGATCCCATCAAATGTCACCTTTACATCAGAGATTCCCATAAAATTTCACCCTTACATCAGAGATCCCATCAAAGTTCACCTTTACATCAGAGATTCCATAAAATTTTCACCTTTACATCAGAGATCCCATCAAAGTTCACCTTTACATCAGAGATCCCATCAAAGTTCACCCTTACATCAGAGATCCCATCAAAGTTCACCCTTACATCAGAGATCCCATCAAAGTTCACCCTTACATCAGAGATCCCATCAAAGTTCACCCTTACATCAGAGATCCCATCAAAGTTCACCCTTACATCAGAGATCCCATCAAAGTTCACCCTTACATCAGAGATCCCATCAAAGTTCACCCTTACATCAGAGATCCCATCAAAGTTCACCCTTACATCAGAGATCCCATCAAAGTTCACCCTTACATCAGAGATCCCATCAAAGTTCACCCTTACATCAGAGATCCCATCAAAGTTCATCTTTACATCAGAGATCCCATCAAAGTTCATCTTTACATCAGAGATCCCATCAAAGTTCACCTTTACATCAGAAATCCCATCAAATTTCACCCTTACATCAGAGATCCCATCACATTTCACCCTTACATCAGAGATCCCATCAAATTTCACCCTTACATCAGAGATCCCATCAAAGTTCACCCTTACATCAGAGATCCCATCAAAGTTCACCCTTACATCAGAGATCCCATCAAAGTTCACCCTTACATCAAATATCCCATCAAATTTCACCCTTACATCAAATATCCCATCAAATTTCACCCTTACATCATATATCCCATCAAATTTCACCTTTACATCAGAGATCCCATCAAATGTCACCCTTACATCAGTGATTTCATCAAATTGTACCCCTAACATCTGAGTTCTCATCAAAGTTCACCCTTACACGAGAGTTCCCATCAGAGCCTCCTTATATCACCATCAAAGTCCCGCATTACAGCAGAGCTCCTCCCTCACATCAGAAACCCCATTAGAGTCTCCCCTTACATCAGAGTTGACAGCCTTTTTACATCATACTCACCATCAAACTCCCCCTTTATTGGTGCCGCCCCCCTCCCCCTACATCAGAGCCCCCGCTTACATGAGAATCCCCACCAGAGTACCCCTTTTATATCAGGGTCTCCACCAGAGTATCCCTTTACATCAGGGTCCCCACCAGAGTACCCCTTTACATCGGGTCCCCACCAGGTACCCCTTTACATCGGGTCCCCATCAGAGTAACCCTTTACATCAGGATCCCCACCAGAGTACCCCTTTACATCAGGATCCCCACCAGAGTACCCCTTTACATCAGTGTCCCCACCAGAGTACCCCCATTACATCAGGGTCCCCACCAGAGTATCCCTTTACATCAGTGTCCCCACCAGAGTACCCCTTTACATCAGGGTCCCCACCAGAGTATCCCTTTACATCAGGATCCCCACCAGAGTACCCCTTTACATCAGTGTCCCCACCAGAGTATCCCTTTACATCAGGGTCCCCACCAGAGTACCCCTTTACATCAGGATCCCCACCAGAGTATTATCCCTTTACATCAGGGTCCCCACCAGAGTATCCCTTTACATCAGGATCCCCACCAGAGTACCCCTTTACATCAGGGTCCCCACCAGAGTATCCCTTTACATCAGGATCCCCACCAGAGTATCCCTTTACATCAGGATCCCCACCAGAGTACCCCTTTACATCAGTGTCCCCACCAGAGTATCCCTTTACATCAGTGTCCCCCACCAGAGTATCCCTTTACATCAGTGTCCCCACCAGAGTACCTCTTTACATCAGTGTCCCCACCAGAGTATCCCTTTACATCAGTGTCCCCACCAGAGTACTCTCTTACATCAGTGTCCCCACCAGAGTACCTCTTTACATCAGTGTCCCCACCAGAGTATCCCTTTACATCAGTGTCCCCACCAGAGTACTCTCTTACATCAGGGTCCCCACCAGAGTACCTCTTACATCAGAGGATTAGATAAAATCTTGCAGAAGGCTGAATTAGGCTCACTGTCCATAGTTTGGAGACCCCTTATTTAGGGTAAGGGGCGGTAAAACATGATCCACATTGGGTGTCCAATACTCTGGGTGTGCCACATTCTTATATCTATTCATTAGTTATTATGTATACAACATCCAGGACTGTGAGTTGTGAATGTAATCATTTTTAGCAGGGGTTTCCTGAGGCTCAAAAACATTTTTAAATGGTTCCTCTGGAGTAAAAAAAAATCAACAAAGACTAGTCTAGGTGGAAGCTTATGAAGTATGTGCTGTTAGGCGGGAATAATGGAAAATGCTCATATTTCTACAAACTATAAAAATAATAAAATTCCTTAAATTACATATTTGTACAATATTATAACTTTTTTTTTTTTTTTGTTAATGTGTGACAGGTTCTCTTTGAACAAGCCGAATGATAGGAGAATCAGTTCAGAGCAGCGAGCAGTACTGAGATCCAGCAGAGGGTGGCGCTCTTATCCTATATCACATTGCAGTCATTTGGCAGAGGCCTCAGACTTGACAGAATGGCGGGAGAACCGGCACAGATAGGTGCAGAGACATGGCTTTCTTGCCAACAAATAGGCATGACGTGTATCCCACAGAGATGGGAGGGAGTTGGCTCCGTGTTGGCTCCGTGTTAATCATCTCAAATCCCTGATTATCATTCAGATGTAAGAAAATATTATGAATATCCTGTAAAATAATCAATATTTTCTGATGCCAAAATTTTGGTGCCAGATTTTTAGCTGTAGATGTTTCGCTCCTTATATTTATGTGCAAATATTGTTAGCGGTATCAATACGGGTAATGCTGCAACAATATTATTTAATAAAAAAGATATATATACACTATATTGCCAGAAGTAGTGGACTCACCCTCCAAATCATGTGATTCAGGTGTTCCAATCCCCTCCCAATCATGTGATTCAGGTGTTCCAATCCCCTCCATGGACACAGGTGTATACAATCAAGCCCCTAGGCATGCAGACGGCTTCTACAAACATTGGGTGAAAGAATGGGTCGCTCTCAGGAGCTCAGTGACTCCAAGCGTGGTCCCGTGATAGGTGGCCACCTGGGCAATAAGTCCATCCGTGACATTTCCTGGCTACTAAATATTCCACGCTCAACTGTTAGTGGGATTATAACAAAGTGGAAGCAACTGGGAACAACAGCCACTCAGCCACCAAGTGGTAGGCCACGTCACATGACAGGGCGGGGTCAGCGCATGCTGAAGCGCACAGTGCGCAGAAGTCGCCAACTGTCTGCGGAGTCAATAGCTAAAGACTTCCAAACTTGGTGTGGCCTTCAGATGAGCCCAACAACAGTGCGTAGAGAGCTTCATGGAATGGGTTTCCATGGCCAAGCAGCTGCATCCAAGCCTTCCATCACCAAGTGCAATGCAAAGCGGCGGGTGCCGTGGTGTAAAGCACGCCGCCACTGGAATCTAGAGCAGTGGAGACATGTTCTCTGGAGTGACCAATCACGTTTTTCTGTCTGGCAATCCGATGGATGTGTCTGGGGGGTATGGTGGTTGCCAGGAGAACGGTACTTGCCTGACTGCATTGAGCCAAGTGTAAAGTTTGGTGGAGGGGGGATTATGGTGTGGGATTGTTTTTCAGGAGTTGGGCTTGGCCCCCTAGTTCCAGTGAAGGGAACTCTTAAGGCGTCAGACATTTTGGACAATTTCATGCACCCATCTTTGTGGGAAGAGTTTGGAAATGGCCCCTTCCTGTTCCAACATGACTGCCCACCAGTGCACAAAGCAAGGTCCATAAAGACATGGAGGATCCAGTTTGGGGTGGAGGAACTTGACTGTCCTAAACAGAGTCCTGACCTCAACCCCATAGAACACCTTTGGGATGAATTAGAGCGGAGACTGCGAGCCAGGCCTCCTCCCCCGACATCAGTGCCTGACCTCACAAATGTGCTTCTGGAAGAATGGTCAAACCTTCCCATAGACCCACTAGAGTGCTTCCTTCCCCTATCTGGCCCAGGGGGTGCAGGTTTACTAAGTTAGTCCTTCTCCTGCATTGTAGTGGGTTGGTGGCTGCTTGCAGGCCTTCTAGCTGGGCTGCTCCTTCCCTGCCACACGTGGTCCTCTCTCGGGGCTGGTGAAGTTACAAGCTTTCAGCCTTCCAAGGTCCTTCTGCCTGTAGGCTCCTCTCCATCTGGGTCCCCACCCAGGCTCCTGTCTTCCAGCCTCACATCCTCCTCATCTCTCCTGCAACAACTCCCCTGCAGCTGAGCAGGCTCTCTCACTTACATACATACAGTATCCTGACAACAGAGGATGATGGGATCTGTTTTCCTATAGACAATTCATGTATTCCTGGGTGCTGATTGAACTACAACTGCCACAGAGCTGGCAAACAAGGAGGATGGTGGGAAAGTAGATACAGTGTCTTGAAAAAGTATTCATACTCCTTGAAATTTTCCACATTTTGTCATGTTACAACCAAAAACGTAAATATATTTTATTGGGATTTTTTGTTATAGACCAACACAAAGTGACACATAATTGTGAAGTGGAAGGAAAATGAGAAATGGTTTTCAAACTTTTTTTTACAAATAAATCTGTGAAAAGTGTTTTTTCAAGGGGTATGAATACTTTTTCAAGGCACTGTATATTTTACAGCAAGGGACTGGCTCACTCTCCTGGCGTGAGATGCAGAGTTGAACACAGGGAGATTGCAGTTCTCCTCCGGAGACAGATTGCTGGCCTACTGCTGCGGGACTCTGCACATCAGTTCAGGATAGCGGTGACACCGATCGCCACACTGAGATCATTGGGATCAGATTCTCTGCATTGGGACTGTCACTATCCAGTCTTCACGCAGACATCTCTGCTCGATGGGCTGACAGGCCGTCAGCCAATAACTCCGCACATCCCTGTAAACAGCCAAGAGCTTGTGCAAAAACTCTGTTCCTAGGAGGTTTTGCTATCCATGGGATTAGTGAGCCGGCGGATGCCCATCCTCTTTCTGTCATCACTCTAGAGACACTGCATGCTTTATAATTCAGTATCAAGAGATCTTTACTTTGAGCATTGCAGCAGTCTATCTGTTAATTTTAATTGAATTACCAGTATTCACTAATGTTTATGGGCCCCACCATTGCTAGCAGAAGACAAAGGATACCACCATATCAGGAACTTTAAAACATCACAGGACTCAAATTGCAATCTCTAGTTAAAGGGACCTCTTCTCTTTTAAGGCAATTGCTATTCAAATTGGGGTACTTATATCTATTTATAGTGTAGTATACGTTTACATAATTCTCTGTATTCCCCACTGTGACGCCAGTGATCTGGAGGGAGCAGATAAGTCAACAAGCCTTTTCATCCCCTTCTTGCTGCTGTAAGTATACAGAGCTGAATTAATTTGTATCTTTTCTATTTACTTGGCATTTAGATTAATAGTTTGTTTTGTTGTAAAGGTGAAATTTCGGAGTTACATAAAGGTCCAACCCTGGTTTTCCCCACCCCGGTGCAGGGGCACCAAGAATTGCATTGTGGGTCTGCCATAACTGGGACATAATTACGACACCAGTGAACTGACCTTTCAACTTGGAGCGGACTTTGTTGGCCGTTTTCTTGATGTCGGCCGTGAGATCCTCCAGCTCCTGTTTAGTTTCTGCATGAAAAAAACATGGAAAAAAAAAACAATTAAGTCAAGTAAAGTGAGTAAGGCTCTATAGCTCAAAAACACGTTCGCCTGTTCATCTATGTATTTTACCATGCAGCCAATAAAGATTATTATCTACGGATGACACTGAGTTTCCGGCTTGACTATACTGTTTGATTGGCTCCCACTTCTTGGTTCTTGCAGCTGGCCCCCTGATGAAGCACATACACCACGGTTCATCATCAGGGAGATGGTTGCAGGAACCAGGAAGAGACATCCGGTCCCCAGATTATGTGCCATGGAGTACTTCAAGATCTTTTTTAATACTTAAGCCACGCATCCCAGGAGGTCTCAACTTACTCCAGAATGCATGGGGGTAGCCAATACATCATTCTCACCTAGGCGAGAATCTAGGAAGTGTGGGGATGTGTTCCCCAAAAAAGGTTAAGACTTTTTTTTTAAATGTCAGTTGTTAGAGAGAAGGGGAAGAAGTGGAATGCCAGAAAGTGGAAGGTCTGCTGTAACTACCAGGCAATCTCCCTAGTCTGGCATGGAACTATGAGCCTGTCAGGACCAGGATCTGAACCAATGATCTCTGCTGCATCCAGTAGTAGCTCTACTTACTGAGCCACCTGAGATGTATGACATAATTGTGTCTGAACCTTTGGACAATCTTGTCTTTTACCTTGATTTTGGTAAACCTTGAACTCCTTTCTCTTCTCATGAACTCCCTACTTAAGCCATGCTTTTGCACTCCTCTCTTTTTCAGATTTTTGTGTTTTTTCCAGCCAATATTTTCTCCTTTGCGTACTTGCAGCTGTCCTTCTCGTCACTACCACCGAGTACCGACCTTTGGCTTGTATGGACTCTATTACCATGAGTGGGTATCCTTACTACTATCTGTAATTCTGGATTTCCTGCAGGCCCTCTCCTAGGTTTGGGGGTGCTCTGGTATGTGGGAGCAGCCTCGCCAAAATGATTCAGCTTATGAATGAGATGGCCATTGACATGACTGGACACTAATAATAGGAGAATTTGTACGTACGACCCCTCAATCCCTCAATCACTAACGCAACTCTACACCCCAGTCTGTCTTTCGATAATTGTTTAATATTGTCCAGAACATGCTCTAACGAAGGCGGTCCCTTTAAAAACCCGAAAAAGGGGGGGGGGCATTCTGAATTATATGGCTCCAAATAAAAAACTATTCTAGATTTAGGACTCCAATTTCGCCACTTTCCTTTATACACCCTCCAGTGTTCCTGAGATAAGAGCCAAATTTAGGCCCCTGCTCTCCGGGATCCCGCCTAAAAGGAACTCTTTATACCAGATGAGACACCCTACCAAGTTCCTTAACATTGAATTCCATGTTTATTTTTTTTACATAGTTTTTATTGGTTCATCTTAGACCAATGTAAGTATACATAGGCCATATCAGCGGGATCCCCATAAAAGTCATCTCTACTACAGAAATTGCTGCAGGGTACCATGCTCTGCTGCATAGTGAACACAAGGGTTGTTGGCATGAGCACAATTCACAAACAATTCACTTTTCGTAAGGAGTTCTCTGATTGGACAGGGTGGGGAGGCGGGTCAGTGACATCTCTACCTTGCCAAATCAAAGAATGCTTTGTAGTCATTGAAAAAAAGTCAAGGCTTTCTGTGAATGGCATCCATGCAGAGTGACCCCTGTGTTTAGTATGCAGTAGGGTAGCTGCTTGGAAGAAGACCTGCCTAGGACCCAGGGGTGACAAATCATGGGACCCCCAGGCAATAGGAAATCATGGGGCCCCAATGTCCTTGCCCACACTCAAACCACACCTAAAAAAGCCTATGAAAGGTACCAGGGGCATCTCATGGGGCCCCCTACTGACTCCGGGCCCTCTGGCAGTGCCCGAGTGCCTAAATGGTCAGTCCGCCCCTTCTAGGACCTCTTCCCCTGATGCTGCATTGAGACATCTCAATGCTTAAGCCCAGTGGTGGGTGTGATGCATCAGAGGAGGAGGTCCCAGACAGGGCTTCTTGATATTTGTCCTGGAAAAATAAAGTTTTACAAGTGTTGGATGTTACAGAGTGTTGCCAGCTGTTTTTGTGTGGGTGAGCCCCTGCTTGGTGCCTACAGCCAGTCTGCAGAGAGTAGGATCTATACAGGACTTAGAAGCCAATGGGGAATGTTTACTTGTATGCAGCATTTCTAACCTGTCTCAACCAAAGTAGACCACACAGTTCCATTGGCACTTACTCTCATCAGGATTTGGTGCTGCCAAGATGGCGCTGTGCTGTTTCTTCACCTGCTCCACATCTTCTGACAGCTTTTCTATACAGCCCCGGATCTCTTCCACCTGTAGAAAGACAAGCACAGTCTTTACCTCTCTTGGCGGGAGAGGAGGAAAGTTACGGACCGCTGGTTGAGGGACGTTAATATTAATGGAAAAGTGTTGAGGGAATTAAACCTCTTTATTTACACTCCTTAGCTGTAATTACTTTAATTTGTCATGAGCACGGCAGTGACAGTTGACTTCCACGATACATCTAGCACAGAATTTTATAGAGGTACCAGCCAGGAAGGAAACATTGCTGAGGACTGTGCTAGAAGAGACGCCATGATTGATGTCTGAATTAGAGGACAATAAACTACGGGGAAACTAATAAGGTGGACATGGAAGGGAAGAAGGCATGGCCTACAGGAGGGAAAGCACAATGTAAGCACTGACATAGTAAGGCAGAAAGGAACTCAATTTATGGGGAGTAAAGATAGCGTGAGTGTAGGGTAGGGAAGGGGATGTCTGTGAAGGTTCACATTTATTCAGGTCATAGTATACCTAGTAGTAGTTGATCACATTTAACTGGACTTGTCCTATAATGCTGAAGACGCTTTGTAGCTTGCCCAAGCCAGTTCTTCAGTTCTAATGATTGTTGACAACATACCCCAGCAATCTCTCAACAACTGAATGGCCCAACGTAGGAGAGCAAATTCTACACATCAAGGCTACACCTTAGGGGAAAGGGGCATTCTTTCCAAGGACAGTAGGGTGCACAGAGAGAGGAAAACTGGTATGCAAGAGACATCAAAGAGGTCATCTATGGCAAAACAGAAAATCCCTAAACAGCACCATCTTTCTTCTACATACAATGCAATTTTACCATCTCCACCCTAGCAATTTAACAATTATTCGCCTTTAGAGCAGTTCAGCTCAAAGTATCAACACCTACACATACTTCCTGACACCAGGGATGGGATTATGTCACTAGAAAAGGGGGGGGGGTTCCACAACTTTTACACCTCCCAATCTTTTTTTGGACAATCAAACCTCTTCCTTGGCCCATTCCATGGTGACTGGATTAAGGTGGCTGTGCTACCTACTATATGTGGATATAATGAACTTGGAGACATTATGAAGCATCTTTAATATTACAAACCAAGTCCAGTTGAACAGATGGACCTGGGCAGTTTGTATGGTTTTGTGATGGAGAGATACTTCTTGTCCTGGAGGGCAAACAGGAAATGACAAAAAAACTTCTCCAAAGTGGAAGTTCCCTCTTAAACAGTTGTCACCGTAAAAGGTGTCCACATATGAAAAAACTTCTCTTCTATTCCTGGATTAGTGTCAACTCTGAAGTTCTTTGGATTTCACATCAAGTTTTGTCACAGTGACCATGCTAGCCCAGACATATAGAGAGGATGTAGTCTACAGTAAGAGATCAACACTGCTCAACCACGACCCATTGAGGTGCTGAGGAAACCATTGCCCTGGCTTCAGTGTCTCTATCACGCTAACGTGTTTCGGCTGTAAGGCCTTAATCAATTGCATGATATGCTTAATTAAGGCCTGCTGGCCAAAACCTGTTATCGTATTTCATTTGTATTGACCATGTAGCCAATAAAAATTACTTTACTTAGGTGACAGAGAGTTACCGGCTGTATTTTTATCTCAAATATAGACAGGATGAATTCCTTTTTTTCCAAATTGGAAAACACCCTGGAATACAATCCCTTCCCCACTCTATCCAAAACAAGAAAAAAAAAATAGTTATACTTTAAGCAATAATCATTCATTAAAGCTGAACTTCACCCTGTGAGGATGGGACAGCTTGAAGTTCTGTTTTATCTCCTCCTTCTTCAATTTAAATCCAGGCAGAGCCATACAAAGCAGTGAGCAGGAGCTGACAGGGGAGGATCTGTATTGTTTACATAATTTTCCTCAGGTCTCTCCCCCGTCGGAGATCCTCAGGTGTGACAGACACCGGGTTTCCGGCGAGTAATCACTGGCCGGGACCTGTGATTGATAGCCAAGGCTGCAAAAGGAGGCGCGTGAGCGCCCCTACCCGGATCTGCAAAATCACATTATATATACACATGATTTTGTGCACCTGTGCCACCCTGCGGCGGCAGTATTTCTGCTATAGGGTGGCGTGGAAACTGGTTAAATAAGCAGTGTTGTCATACACATAGAAATTTTAATGAACCTACCTGTTCAAAGAATTCATCCATAAAATGATCCCGATCCACATGTACAATCTCCTCATCGTCATCGCTGTCTTTAGCCTGTAAGAGAATTAGGAAAGAGTTAGAGCCAACACAACCACCCATGATGGACCCTCCGTTCTCATCCAGCCCCCTTCCACACTCATACTAGCTACACATGGCCACCTACAGTATATATCTGTGCCATCAATGATGCTCATATCAACCATATTGTTTGGATATCACTGAAGAGGACATGGTAACAACCCTGACTATCCTGCATGAGGCTAAAGCTGTTGGACCATCATGGCTTCTCCTTGATTCCTTCCCATAATCCCCTGTTCTTGAAGACATGGTAGCGCTGTTATTTAATTTTTTAATCATCATCAGTTCCATTTTACAAATGGGCCCTTCTTGAAACCTAACTTACATTTATAGTTTTTATATACATACATATACAATCATCATATTTGTCAATAGTGATGGGCCGAAAATCCCCCTGTTCAGTTCACGATCGAACATTCGAACCTAATGAAAGTTCAACTACGAACTTTCAACAGACGATTCACTAAGTGGTATCTTATTGCATCTGAGTATGTGGTGAGATACCCGCACAGTTACTAAAATCCGGCAGAGTTATATTATGAAATCATGCGGTATTTTAGTAGTGAGACATTCATTCATGTTTCTGCTGTCAGTGGGGTTCTCCGCTGACAACTGAATGTAAAAAAAGAGTTGCTGCCATTGACCGGTAATTAAAAAATAAAAAAAAATAACAACTATGGTCCCCCATCCATTCCAAGCCCTTCGGGTCTTACTATGGATTTTGAGGAGAACCCCCATGCCAAAATTAAAAAAAAAAATGGTGTGGGGGTCCCCCCCAAAATCCAAGCATGCATCCTGGCAGGTCAGGAAAGGGGGACGACGACTAGTGAGCACTTCACCCTCCTGAACCATACCAGGCCATATGTCCTCAACATGGGGGGGGTTTGAGGACCCCAAAGCACCCTGCCCCCATGTTGATGGATACAAGGGCCTCTTTCCCCTCGACTATGACCAGTGGTTATGGGTGTCTGCGGGCAGGTGCTTATCAGAATCTGGAATCCCCCTTTAACAAGGGTCCCAGTCCCCCACATCTGAATAAGTATAGGGTACATGTTACCACTACTCTTTCAAAAAAAGAAAAAAGTGTAGTGTAACAAATGACAGACGATAGTTTTTTGACAAGTCAATCATGATGCCCGCTGCAATGAAAAAACCCCGAAAACGAACGAACACCTGGACGGCCGATGTTCAATTCGATCGTATGTTCGACCAAACATCATGCTCAACACTATTTGTCAAACCAGTCTGGAAGAAGGAAGATTCTATATCTGAAGAAACAAGAAACATGGCAGATAATAATTTATGTTCAACTGGACTTGTGCTGTAATCTTGAAGATATTTTTGTAGTTTCTCCAAGCCCTTCTTTGTTTCTAACGACTGTCAGGAAGATACCCCACCATTTATGTTCACACAGGCAGCACCGACTGCTTCATCCAACCACCAAGCACTTCATTTACCAAAAACAGAATGGGAGGTGTGAAAGTTGTGGCGCCACCCTGTTCTAGTTACATAATCCCCTCCATGGTGTCAGGAAGTCCACCTAGATGTTAAAACCTTGATTTATACGATTCAAGGTTTAAATTATCGTCAAATCACAGGGGTAGAGATGTTACAACAACATTATATGTGAAAGTCAGATGGTGTTGAAGGCCCTCCACCCCTATTCAGGGATGGTTGTTCCAGTCTGACATAGATGGCCTCTTTAATATCCCTAGAAATCTGGTTGTCCTCTCTCTCCAAAATGTGCACCTCATTGTCTTCAAATGAATGTCCTTTTTCATTGTAGGAAGACTGCTGAGTCTTGACCTGTAGAATTTGGTCTCCTATGTTGAGCCATTTGTTGGTTGGAAGTTTTTTTGCCTTTCCCAGTATACAGGTCTTTGGATGACCATATTACCCTGTGTGTTCTGCTTCTCCCTTCCGTTTGATGGTCCCGTGTCTTTGCTTGACCTTGTGGATGCTTGTGGAGACCTTCAACACCATCTGTCTTTAACATATACTGCCAGTTTATTATCCCTGTCTTGGCAATTAGACAACATCCCATTAATCATGTAAATGGAGGAGTTAACAACTATGAAGCCTTCCTGACACCAGGGATGGGATGATGTATCTAGTAAGGGGTGGTTCCACAACTTTCAAACCTCCCTTTCTGTTTTTGGACAAACAACATCTACACCAGGGTTTCTCAACCTGGGTTCCATGAAACCCTAGGGTTCCTCCAGAGGTTGCTAGGGGTTCTCTGAGCTATGAGCAATTTCTGCCTCTAAGACAAGTTCCCACTGACACCATTGATCTTATTAGCTATCTGTAAGGGGGGAATGATTTCCAATGTCCACAAGGGTAAAGAGCATTTTTCCCACTGACCATCACTCTAATGCACGGGTGTAAAAATGGTGGCCCTCCAGCAGTTTCCAAACTACAAGTCTCATGAGGCATTGCAAGATTGACATTTACAAGCATGACTCCCAAAGGCACAGGCATGATGGGACTTGTAGTTTCACAACAACTGGAGGGTTGCCAGTTTGACACCCCTGTCCTAATGTATCATGAGTTGTAGATATAGAAATTTTTTATAGGCGTTCCTTGAGCCCTGAAAGTGTTTTCAAGGGTTCCTCTGTGTTAAAAAGGTTGCGAAAGGGCTGATCTACACATTTCATGGTGATTGGATTAGGGTGTCTGTGCTACCCATGTGGCTATAAATGGTGGGGTATCCTCCTGACACTCGTTAACAGTGATTAAGTGGTTTGGATAAGCTACATAATATCTTCAACATACAGAAAAATCCAGTTGAATGTGACTAGCTACTATTAGTTATACCATGGCCTGGATAAACGATAACCATCACAGACAACTTGTCATATCTATGATTGCTTGAACTTGATCAACTCATCTGTTTATCTTTGAAGCACTCAAACTCTGTTCTACGCTTAAAGCTTTTTATGAGATCACTCATCATGAGCAACCATGGTCTGCAAGCATTTTGGGAGCATGGTCTAGATCTCTAGGAGCATGACTGACACCTCAATAAACTGCTGGTCTCTAAAATTTTCAAAGCTCTAAAAAATCCAGTGCCACTCCCAACCAAACTTTTGCTGCTTAGTCACATGACAGCAACTGTGAAGAACCGTCCCTTTGTGATAACATTTTGCCCTTTCTGTTTCAGTTTTCTCGCCTTGTTAAGTGGTCTTCCCCTTCTCCCCTTGGTAAAGCTTTATATGTTGTGGCTGTGCGCGGTATCCTGCCACGGTGGAAATCACGAGGAGACCCAGGATTCTCAACCATACAGGTTGAGGGGCTCCAGGCAGTTCTCATAATGCAGAGGAAACTGGTTTATCAGTTTCCTCTTTGGTTTGTAAAGCCTGTTTTGGGACCTGTAGCCTGGAGATTTCTAAGAGATTTGGGAGGGATGAAATCTCCAATCCATGATTCTGAGCTCCACCCCTGCAGAAAGGAGTCAGGAGGGCTCCACCCCGGCAGACAGGAGGTCTCTGCCTTGGAGTCAGGGTGGGCTTCACCTAGTAGAGGTGGAAGCCAGACAAGCTGTGTGTTATTGGCTAGCTGTGTGCGGGAAAGCCATTTTTGGATAGAGTCTGCAGGAGACAGGCGGAAATCGGTGTACCAGCCAGAAGGCTGAATATCATTTGCATTTGTTTGATGTGGATACCCCTGCGTGGGAGGATTTATGTGACAGGACATTTTCTTTCAAATAAAATTGGGCAAAAAGGCCCTTAAGAAGAAGCGAGTTGCTGTGTGCTTTAAAAAAGCTCTACCACTCTGAAGCGAGTTCCCACATAGTTTAGCAGCTGTTTTGTAGACAGGCATTCTACACTGTTTGTTTAGGGTAATGGTGACTTGTAGTCTTTCACTTCTATAGAGTTCAAACTGTATTGTTGGGTTGTAGGGTTTTGTTGTGGGTGGGGAAAGCCCGATGCCAGGCTGTCTGGTGGGGGTGGGGGTGAAGCTGTATATACTGAGTTGTGTTCAATATTCATTCATTTCACCCTACACGAAGTTTCGACTCGTGGTTTGGGATATCGGGGAAGGATTGTTTTTGAGCTCTAATACCCGCCTTGGCAGAGCGCTGGAAGACTTGCCGGAAAAGGGGACCATTGGCTGAGACGCATTGCTCCGCACGAGGAAGCCCAGGCTGAGCCTTTTGAGAACATGAATTATTTTGGCTCCTTGAGTGCCAGTTTTATAGAGAACCTGTCAACACAGCCTTTGTCAGGCTCCCATCTAGGGGCTGGTGCTAGAACAGGGACTTCACTGTGTGTAATGAAGGAGGCACGTCATTTTCTACCAAAGCTAGCTCCGTTTCTGGAAGGTCAGCTGAAAGCAGTACCGGGGCTGGATGAAAGCCTCGGGTTTGACACACATCAGCTTATTGGCTCCCTTTAAACAAATTTGCATTTTAATGTCCTTTCTTTCTGCCATGAGATTATCTCTGTGATGAGCCAGTTTTCAGAAATAAATTCTTCTAGTGCCACAGTGCAGGTGCTTTACACCGTCATGGTACCATCTTACGGGAGGAAGTCCCAGGTGGCAGCAGGTGTTGGGAATTAGACGATTACTCGCCCAATATTCCGCATCTGCTCCCCCATGTGATGGTGACGAATTGGCTGGTGCTGAACACAAAATAGATTAATTGCAGATCAGATCTTCTGGTAACGGTAATAAAAGCCTAGTCATTCCCCTGCACAGACTTTTCGGAATACCGGGAGAGGTGGGGGTGGGGAAAATCATTCATACCTGTATTCTCAAAAGACGCACGTGCCTTTATTTATTTCTTCGACTAAACTCCACTCACGGAGCTTTACCTAGATTCTAGATTGTAAGCTCGTAAAACTTACCCCTCGTACGCTGTCACTTTGTTGAGCCTGTATTGTCCCCCCCTATTGTAATACACTATATAAACTCGTAGTACGTGAATGGTTTTATGTGCTAAGAGATCTGAAACTTTGTCCCACCACTTTTGC